TGTATGAGCTAGCCGATAGTCAATATAATTGGAACATGTATTAAATTTATTATTTATTATTTATTTATAAATACTTTATGATTTATATTAATTATAATGAGTACGACAGGTTTGCATGGGGTACGTATTTGTGGAAGTATAGTGAAACACAATTACGATTATGGTTTGGTAAAATCTATAGATATTTACGAGATAATGAGGGTGAGGGTTACACGAAGACGATGAAGTATACAGTTTTAGGTTTTCAGTTTCCGTTTAAGGTTAGTATTAGGTGCACTTACTTATATTTTTTAAGTGCTTATAAGTTTGGACAAAGCATCATTTTTTGTCGTAATAATAGGTATGGATTTTGGAGACATTTCCTGAAGCTTTGAGGTTTGCGCATCACACAGAAAATGAAATTCCAAGAATGAGGGCATGGAGAATAAAAACACAATTGTCTCTCGAGCAATGTTTACGTATATTATATGTTTCAGTGGTATAGTTATACATTCCTTATATTAATTATATATAGTTAAAAACTGCAACAATTTTATATACTTAAATTTAATTTATTAATTTTGCAGAAAAATAACATCCCACATGATTTTGAACCAACGCCTGTTGAGATCCATTTGCCATTCTTTGTGCGTTATGTAAGTTGGACTCTAGAAAAAGTGCAGTCGCCACCACAACAACAGAGTCCTCCTAAGGAGCGGTCTCCATCACCGCAACAAATGAGTTCCTATGCAGTGGTCTCCATCACCTCACCCGTCTCAGTTTCGGGGAGCAGATTACACCTCAACCTCTCATTTTCAGGAAACATACCACGGACCTGTAGAAGACAGTAAAATAGGCAAGTTATTGGGCATTGTTACTGAATTGAAAACCACAATCGAGCACTTTGGGAAGAGAATGGATAATTGGGAAAAAGATAAACAATTTGGTGTGAACGATATGGAAAATGTGGACGCGAGGGGAGCATTTTTTGGTGGTTGGATCCCGAGTCAGGCCATACGTATGTGCAAACGCCACCGCCTGTTGTTGAAGTTGAGGATAACATAATTACACCGTTTAAAGGGCGGATAAAAATGAAATCGAAATTTTGTAGGGAGTCGTACACACAGGTATAAAATTAAGTAATTTCTATTTATATAGTATATAATCGTTCCAAATTAATTAACATATTGATTTTGTAGGTTCCATCGACGGAACCATTGAAGAACAGAAAAGGGAAAAAATCGCAGAAGGAAAAGAATGTAGGAAAAAGACCATTACTATTGGACAATTATGTAGATTGTGATGATGAATTTTGAAAATTGTGGGGAAAGAAGATGGGGACGGTATTTATGCATAGACTTTTAATAGGTATTGACATGAATTGGGAATTTTGGTCTAGTTTACTTTGTATTGGCTCTGGATGGTTGCTCTCTGAGGTACACACATCCCTTATTTTATATTACAAAAAGTGTTGGATAATTAATTGTTCAAAATGATTTTTTTTCTAACACGCAACATTTGGTTATCTGGTCGTCCTTGCTCAAGGAAATAAGTTCGTCGAATGGTAGGTGGACGGTTATTAATCCTGAAGGCACGACTTTGGAACCTGCGAAACAACATTATTTGAGGCGTATAGCAGTCGGGATGGTTGATGGACCACATTGGAAGGATATTGATCGAGTTAGTGTGTGTGTGTATATATATATATATATATATATATATATATATATATATATATATATATTAAAATATGTATATATCTAATAACTTATCATTTTTTTTGAAGGTTTGAATTCCAATCAACACACCGCAACTGCATTGGTATTTGGCTGATTTGGATCTCTTTACATGGAAAGTGAGCATATATGATTCAGCTGAATGGTGTGGTTTCTTAAAAAATATGCGGGCGACGATAGTTTCGAATCGTTGGGAGATAGTATATTAACTGAACTAGACCACATATCATATTGGGCCCATTTTCCCAATAGACAGAAACCTACTGAGGTGAAATTCGTTAAAGCTAAAAATGTGCTGTAGCAGGAAAAAGTAGAAGAAGGAGAACTAGGAGATTGTGGAGTTTTTGTGTGCATGTTCATGGAAATGCTTGCATCGGGTGTACTAGTGGAGACACGTCAATCACCTAGAGATACGATATTTACTTACCGTAATAGGATGACATAAATTATTTGGAATAGTAGATTTTGATTGTGTTATTTGGAATAGTAGACTTTGATTGTGTTATTTGGAATAGTAGACTTTGATTGTATTATGATTATTGGTTTAAGATTATTTTCTTATGTTTTGATTTATTTACATACAGCTACACCAATTAAAACAAAACAAACATGAGATACCCAACAATTAGAACAACTACCAACAACTTGTACATACGTATGGTCTTCTTGGAATCACACATCCCCTTCTCCATGCTTGCCACTATACTATTCTCCTTACTTAGGAGAAACTCCAACTCAACATTCTTAGTCCTCAAGTTTTTTATGACACCAAGATCCTCTTTCGAATCCAACTGTTGCTTCATGGAATAGATGAGGGTTTTGTAGTAACCATCTTCCAGTGCAACATCTTTCCATTCAAAGTAATCACATTTCCTCAGTCTTGTCTGTATCAAACCCACATGAATAAAACATCAAAACACAATGACTGTATAACTGTTAGGGAATACGCAGAACTGTTAGGGAAGCTTACCAAGCTGTTGTTGCAGTTCCAAAAACGTCTGTCGGGGTTAGTGAGCTTCCAACATGTTCGTTCCTTAGCTGGAATATCGCAATCACAGTTGTTAACATCGTCTTTAACAAATACACAAGCAACTTGGAGGCGGTTTCTTGCATTGGACAAGCTCATATACATTGTGTTGAAGAATCGAAGGGGTAAGAAATAAATGAATGAGGTCCAAATCGGGGTTTTTACACATCACTTAACCATGTAAGAACTGTACACCTCTGCGGAGCAGTGTACACCTCTGCAGATCAGTGCACACCTCTGTATAACTGTTAAGGAATACACAGAACTGTTAGGGAATAAAAAAAAGGACTGACAAACAGCTCTGCGGATTACCAAACAACTTTGCGGAATAAGTAATATAAAATCACTTTACCATGTGTATCCTTTCATCGATTCTGTGCCATTTCTTCTTCATTTTATTTTTTTTTGAAAAATTAATCCTTATATTTTCCGTCATAATGGCTACCATACCATGGAGCACTGAGGATAACCTCCGTCTAACTCGTGCATATATTAATATCCACGAGACCACCAGGGTGAATGATCCAAGCTATTGGACTCGTTTAACTTATGTCTTCAACGCTGACCCTCAAACTTCCCCAGAAAACTACCGCAACACCGTTGACATCACATCAAAATGGTATGAATTAAAAACAGAAGTCTTGGTTTTCAACAATCTTTATACCAAAATTGATGACGCACGTCCGGATGAGGAAGTCATCCTGGACACGGTGAAAGCAGAATACATATCCATTAGTGACGGGTTAGAATTCGAGTTTGAAGGCCCTTGGAATCTCTTAAAAGATCTCCCGTATTTTTAATTTGTATTGCGTTTGTAGAAGGATATTTTAATGTAGTTTGTTTTTATTAGGTTATTTATATGCACCGGTTTGGATTACGCTATTTATATGTATTTGGTTTGTATTAGGTTATTTATGAAACCAGTTGACTTAACTTCTACTTTATTCCATAGAACATCAAATACAAAACAGTACAAATACATGGAAAACATACATCAGTAGCAAACATATTACACAAAACATTTCACATAAAAAACCCTTCTACATGAAATACTGGTGGTTCTTAACTAGATTCCAAGCGTCCACAAAAACTACATATACATGGAAACCATACATCAGTAGCAAACATATTACATAAAACATTTCACATAAAAAACCCTTCTACATGAAATACTGGTGGTTCTTAACCAGATTCCAAGAGTCCACATACTCGAAGTCTTTTCCCTCATGCTTGAAAATGTAATGATCTAAAATCATTTCTAGAAGGGCTTCCTCGTTTGAGTAGTAATAATTACTACTATTTTTAAGATGATGATACCATCGATTGAACCATGTGATTTCGTTCTTTAACTCCATCCACTTACTAAGAATATCTACTTATACCCGATATTCTCCTTGTCAAAATGAGAGGTTGAACATACCTGTTATGCGGGTCCTTTCATCACCTCCAAGGTAATCAGGGGTAACCAGTGTTGTTACACCTTCAAAAATATTTAACCAACATCGTATTATAACCATCACCTCTCTTGTCGTCCATGGACGTGGAGTATCGGACGACGATGTTGCATTCGTAGAAGTTGGTGCATTGGAGGCCATTTCTATATTTTTCGATACTGATCCGTAGATGTGTACATTGATCCGCAGATGTGTACACTGATCCGTTGATAACAGTTCTGTGGATTCCCAAACAGTTCTGTGGACTGATATTAAACATAAGTTCATTATTTTTAATCTTTTTTTGTCAAATTTTTTACATAATCACATAAGGTATTAGTGTATTTTAAAAAAAAAATTAATATTAATAAACGAAAATGAACACAAAATAAACGAAAAAACAAAAAAAAATTAAAAAAATCAAAAAACAAAGATTCCGCAGAGCTATTGAGGATCCGCCGAGCCTTTAATGGATCCGCAGAGGGTGCTGTGCGGATCCTTTGGTCATTTTCCGAAATCTGTTTTTTCTTAGTTATTTTGTTCAAACAACCCCTCTTTTTGGTTATTTATCGAATTTTCTCTTGAAAGAATACATTTACATGTGAAGTTTATATGAATAAAAGGACAGGCTGTTTTCTGGGAGTTTCAAACTATAAGTCAACGGTTAGGGCTAGCATGTAGCTTTTTTTATTTTTTATTTTTTTTCTTTTTTATATATTTCAAGTGTTGGTCTATAAAAGAAAATAAAAGGCTAGTTTTGTTTTAGGAGTTGGCTCTCAGTTCTTTTTATCAATATTCCTGTCTCATTTTCTCTACACCTCCAGTATGTTATTGAAATATTCCCAGTATTCTACTCAAGTGTTGGAACAAGAATCCCTGAGAAAGATACTCGAATCATGCATTAGATATTTAAGACTCTCAGTTATCTTTTTATGCGGTATTTCATATTACTTCACAGTCCTATTTCTATCTCGTGATCGCCCCACCATTTCAGTTGCTGATTTGTATGTTTCTTCGCTAAACCAAACCTCTACTTCGTTGACTAACACCACCACAATCTCTATCGACCTCAAATTCCAGAATGAGAATTTGGGGGTAGGGATTTACTACGAAGATCCTCTAAATCTCACCATCACTTATATCCCACAAAACATAACCAATTTCATCACTATTCAAGGGTTTTATCAAGGTAACGGAAAGGTTAATCATATCCAAGTCTCCACCGTGGTTCAAAGACATTTTCTCAAACGTTGAACAACATAGAAAACTGGGAGAGAAGCAAGTTTCATTGTTTGGTGCAGGGAAAGTCATTGATTTCATGGTAGATTTAGAGGCCAAAATAAAGTTTAAGTCGATTGAGAACAAAAAGTCAAATCTTATGGTCAGATCTGCTGTGGAGGTCAACGGCAACACTGGGACGTCTGTTCTAAAGACCATTCAAATGAAGTATGCTTCTGGATCGAATAACTGGGGAGCGGTGCAATGGCTACTATTCTTTCCTTTGTTTATTTCATTTATGGTTACTACTTTCATCTCTGCTTTGATCCCTTTACTATTAGTGCTTGTTTTTGTATTTTAATGTTTTAGTGCCTGTTTTTTTATGGTTTGCATTTCTAACCCTTTATATGAGTTTCCTTGTCTTCTTTGTATCATAATGTTTCCGACATAGATTAGATCAAATTCGAGTAATGATATTATCTAAATAAAAGAAATCCTTTGCATAGGGCCTCACCACAGTGTTTGAGTACAATATTGGCTTATTGTCTTTTCCGAGAAAAGTAACCTCCTCCGGTGCCGGGGAGCATGATGACGTCGTTGAGGAAAAAAAATTAAGGCATTTGTAGTTTAGTTCGCATTTAACATTTTTTAGAAAGTAAAAACCCAACAGAAAATTGTATTTCAGAAAAACAATATTCAGTCTTTAAAATTTGATAAAATATATGTTAGATTAAAAAATTATTTTTGGTCGTTCATTATAAATCTTTTTTTTTTTTGAAATTTTAAATCCAAAAACAATTTGCTCTTATTCTGAAGTTTCATAACAGTGTTGATCCCTTTGTTTCTTCAACTAACAGTGTAGCAGTTAAATGTCTAAACACCGTCAAATGATCTTTTTAAAAAAAGTTAAACGTCTTAAAATGACGTTTTGTTTTTGGATTCTTGGAACACAATGTAAAAATTACTATACCAAAATTTTAATTATCTTTTATTTTCAGATTGGGTTTATAACTTTCTATACGTCCATAATGATATTTTTTATTATAATTTTCTTGTTTATTAATTAAAAATAAAAACTATTTTTTTATGTTTTTCAACGAGCACCACATTACCTAATAATGTACAAGTGGATAGGTTCACGATTGTGATTTCCTTATAAAATAATCCAATATTATTTGTACTTTTATACATATAATTAACCATTGTGTTGGTATATGACACTTAAAATATGAATATCAATTTTATTCCAGGGAAAATGACTTGCGGGCGTAATTATCTTTTTGTCTTGTTTATGTTTAGGTAACTTCATTTTTTTTTGTATATATTTGACCATTTAACTTGTTAAATGTGTTCATATATTACCATTGTCACTGTTAGGAAGTAAAGCGGATAACTAGCAAAACGAAAAGCACACAAGGCACAACATTTAGTTGGTTCGGTCAAGAAGACCTACGTCCACGGGCAGGAGGGGAGTATTCTTTATTTCAAAGCTTTCAACACAAAGGTTACAAGTACAATTACACAGAGATTTGCCTATCACTCTAGAATTCAAAATACAAAACGACCTAGCATGCATCCCTATTTATACTTGAGGGATCAGACCCAAAACCCTAATGGGCCAAACCTATTGGCCCATAGGCCCATGAAGGGTGTGAACGAATCACAATCCACCACGCAACATCTTCTGGAACATTCTTGAGCATTATCATCTTCTAGGCATACTTGGATCAACATGGCACAACAAAGGGAATCAATATGGCGCATCATGTACCAAGATGGTCCATGATGGCGCAATAGCTTCTTCATGGTGCAACAACAACCCTAGTTGGCGCAACAAGGATCTAAATGGCGCAAGAGCATCAAGTATGGCGCACAATATCAATCTTGGAGCAACAGCATCACCATGAACAACAGGCACATGCATGGCTCAACAAGACCATACATGGCTCAACAGGAAAACAAGATGGCACAAGAGGAGAACAAGATGGCGCAAGAGCATCCCTCTTGTCTCCCTCCAGAATATCCCGAATAAAATTCAGCCTGAAATCAATGTGCTTCATCTTCTCATGATACACATGATTGACTGTCGCAAGACTCAAAGCACTTTGACTATCACAATACAAGACAGGTTTCTCCACCTTCAGACCAAGACTCTGAATAAGCCCTTACAACCATATCTCCTCCTTTATTCCTTCCTTCATAGACATGTACTCGGATTCAATTATAGACAAAGCAACAGTATCTTGTAACGTTGACTTCCAACTGATGGCACATCTGAATAAAGTGAATATGTAGCACGTCCGCAACCTACGTTTCAACAAGTCACCACCATAATCAGAATCAGCATATCCCACCAAGTCACTCAACGTATTTGCTCCATACACCAGACAAACATCCATCGTTCCCTTCAAGTATCGTAAGATCCACTTTACAGCTTCCCAATGAGTATTCCCTGGATTACTCATAAACCTGCTAACCACACTAACTGCATGAGCCAAATCAGCTCTGGTACATACCATAACATACATGAGACTTCCAACAACACTAGAGTATGGAATCCTGCTCATGTACTTCCTTTCTTCATTAGTAGTGGGTATAGTGCTTGGACCAAGTTTAAAGTGAGTCGCCAAAGGAGTTCCAACTGGCTTGGACTGATCACAGTTGAAGGATTGTAGAACTTTCTCAATATACTTATGTTGAGAAATACAAAACCTCCCTACTTTTCTATCCCTTTGTATCTCCTGTTGGGTTTTGAGCATTCTAACACTCCTATGGTGTACATGCAACCCTTTAAAACCTTGGATCTATGTTTTCTCTATTATACATGCAAATATTAAATATTCCAAGGTTTCATCCTAACTACCATATTATGAAGCACCTATACTACAAAGTTCTAGTTAGATGACATACCTTTTGATGTAGCTTGATGTCTTCAAGCTTTAAGAGCTTAGCCCCAATAGTGTGGAAGCCTCAAGTGGAATCACAAATCACCAAAACACCTTGGAAAACATTTAGAGAATGTGGATACTTGGCTCACACTATGAAATCGGTTATTGCCCTCTTTAGTGTATCCACACTAGCCACTAGCATAATTTCATGAACCATAAGACCCTTTATATAGTGTGGAAGATTAGGGTTAAACCCTAATACCCATGACCTTTCATTTCCTATGATCCATGGGTTAAAGCTCCATCGACTATCCATGAAGACTTAGCCCAACCTAAATGAACTTGGCTCACTACACATATATATATCTAAGAGTCCATATTTAATTAGTTCCTTTTGATCACTTAATTAATTATAAATTAATTCTTGATCAATACTAATTAAATAATATGATTATATATTAATATATTAGAACTTATAATATATTAATATAAATCATAAATATACTATTCTCAAAAGACTATCCATATAAATTGTGTCGGTGAAGTGCAACCCAAATGGACCATGCCGGGTCGGGTCAAGTACATACCAACTATAGTTATGGACTTAGACATTAATCCAACAGTCACCCACTTGGATAAGTCTAAAACTATTATTGAGTATAACTTCAAAACCTAACTGGCAATCATAGCTCTTAAAGCCGCTGTCGAACTCTGACCTTGTCAATGACTTGTCCATTAGATAAGGGATCATATATTCCTCCATTCTAGATATCATATGGACTGAGACATCGATTATAATCATTCTCTCTGTCCATTTGTTGTTTCCCGATTTTCGATTTATGATGACTGACTGATTGAACAAATCAAATCAGTCCTGGCTTGGCCAAGCACTCACATGTGTCATCACTAAATCATCGAGGGGCCCACATATATCGCTTTTATCCCGGAGGTAAAAGGAATGGATAAACTTCGACTCATATGGCTTGTTCTACTACTTGTTGAATCATACACAAAGGCACGTTTTATAACATCGAGTTACCAAATGCGTTTTCGTGCAATCAATGTATAACCAACTCATAGTAACAACTCATATCTCTAGGTTTGAAGAATATAAGATATTATCGTCTCATGATCACTCGTGATAAAATCCATGAAGTGATTCAAATGAGCGCGAGTTGAATCCAGTACTCAGAACTTATGAGCACTCATGAGTGTTGTAGCACATCTTTGTACACCAACTTGGAACTCTACAAACCAACCCATGACAGTCTTGATTCATATCTACTTCCAACATATGACCGACTGTGGATGGTTTGAATAACTTAATCATTCAGGAAGAGCGACTTAGTTATTCTGGAAGTCAAAACATGCAAAGTGAAACACAAGAATAAATGAATCAAATATGGTATCAAACCCTATGAATATAAATAAACACTTTTATTTATCACCATACTGATTACTCATTATTCATTGTTTCGGTTTTATCAACTTTATACTTGAATTAAAACACTAGTTTCCCATGCTCCAAGCATGTACACTATGTTTTCTTAAACAATAGCTTTGCCATACACCAAGTATGCACTCTATGTTTGTCTATGATCCTTACTTTGTGAAATAAACCAATTGAACATAATTTCAATGATTCTAATTTCACACTCCCAAATCCTTATCGAAAAATGTGAGAATTTCAAATTCCTATCATTTATCGAAATCTGTTTAGATTTTAAACTTATATGCACTGACCCTCCTGTAATGAATATGTACAAAGTCACAAAGACTTGTCAACAGTCATTATAAGGTATTCCAATGGAGATCAACTCCATGGAAACTAAGTCTCATATTCAAAGTACATTGCTTTGGACATCTTCTTGCATTAAGTTTTCTAATCTTACACAGATAACTTCCACCTATGGAGACAACTCCATATTCTCATTTTGACTATCACTTCTGAATAAGAGATGCCTCTTTTCAGAATATGTCAATATGGTCCTTCCAAAATTAGCACTATACTTCCAACTGTCCCTGAGCAACCAATCTTTGGTAAACCTCAGATTGTCCTCGACAATTGCTTAATCATTTTAGTCATATCCAATTCTAGACCTTTTCCCTTCTTAATGCCTCTGGGCATTTGGAAAAATTTAGAAATGA